TTTTCGTCCGTGGAGACCTCCCACACAAAATTCGAGTCGACGACTTTCTCCGACACCGGCTCGATTATATAAAACCTCTCTTTGAAAGTCCTGATGGATTCAAAGAAAGGTTGAACAGTTTCCTTGCTTGTTTCAAGGAAACCCAACCGAACTTCCTCCCTGACACCCACCGTTGACGATGGAAGATAGTGAAGAAGAGTGGAAGGGTGTCCCCGATCTGCAAGTATTCGCACACCAATTCATACGCCTGCATGAAGGAAATTGAATTTGGATGTAGTTGGCAGGGGGCCAAGTCCAAATGTACGAAGACTGCCCGTTGAAAATCTGTGAAGGGCAACCTCAACCCTATCTCCTTTAAAACGTATTCGTACATGGGAAATCTCTCCTTGTACGCCGAGCAGATACGATCGTCCTCTGTAGGGAAGTGGACCTTCCATTCTCCCTCCAGTCCCACCATGGTAAATGCGTCCCTAGTGTATGAAGCAAAGAGCAAGGCATGCTCCATCGGCTCAGCTACAGTCCACTAATCAGCTGATAACCTCGCGGCAATCATTCCTCCAACATCAAGAGACAAGGAGTCATCATCTGTCTCAGTATCCTCCGAGAAGCTATCCTCGAACAAATCTTTGGGTTGTTCGTCCTCGTCAACTCTGCGTGACACCACTTTTACCTGAAAAGCAGAAGGAAAAAGTGAATTCGATGGCAAAATCAAATCCACCCTTCCACTGCTAGTCAAGTGAAAGTGCGCGCAAAGGACCAAAGACAGAATCCTCGACCTAAGCCCTACTCAAATGGCACAGCTAAATAATATCAATGCCCAGGGGTCCTCCCCGACACGTCCAAGGAAAGATCCCCACGCACAAAACCCAGATCTCTCATGAGGAAACCATCAAAGTCCATGGCCCCCTCCGACAGTAAACGCCACTGTGTCGTCACTACTATGGGATCAACTAAAACATATGGCTTCATAACTTGCCCTTTCCTAAAAACAACCACTACGGCGCCGACAGCAGAGAAATGGTCTCCCCACCGTCTGCCACCAGCAGCCACCACAAAAATGCCCTGGAACTACTTCGTTTCAGTTCTAACCACATGCATTCTACAACATCAAACCAGAAAAATAAAGAGTAAGCAAAGAATCTGCATACTTACTCGGTCGAGAAAAAAGTTCTGAACTTGAGTAGCTTTGGTCGGACGTCATACGGTGGTCGGAGCAAAACTTGAAGGCAGCAAGGGGCGGAGAACAGAGAAGAATGAGCAAGAAGAGAGAGAAGCGAAAGTTCTGAATGAACGAAACCTCTGACTATTTATAGGCAAATGAAAGGCACGGGCACGCGTGGGCTGCATCATCATGACCCTAGCTTACCCATCATCACGCATTTAATGCAGCACACGGCTCGAGGCACACGAGGCACCTCCACTCTTCAGATCCCATCAACCGTTGGGCTCCCCAGATCTCAAGCTCCCCGACAACAACGCTTCAGACGCCCGAGAAAGTGTTTCTCCGGGCACAAGGAAGCTTACGAAGACTATGCTCGGAAAGCAGATTATCCTTAAGTCATCACTATCGTGCTCGGTAGCAACGACTTGGAGGGCTACTGTTTCGGACTGGCCCAATGGCTAAGTATGGCTTAATCCACTTCTGCTCCCAGAACGACCCAATTGCCTAAGCCCAACCACTTTGGGGGGAGAATTTATCTTTCTGCCCCTCCAACGGGGGAGGCTGACCAATTTACCCTTGGCCACAACACTTCTCCCCGTTAGTCTCTATCCGTCACGCACGGTTCCACCATCAAGAAACAGCCAAAACGTTTGTGCCCGTAACTACGCTTTTGTCCATGCTAACGGTTAGTTATGGGCACGTCTGCCCGTCCCAATGACTAATTCTGACAGTTACCTATTCTTCGGGAAACGGTTATCTCTCCCCGAAAATAGGGACCAATGGCCAAGCGCTGGGGGCATTATATAAACCCTCTCTCTCTTACTCTCTCTTACTTATTTTCTTACTTTAGCATCAGAGTGTCTTGCAGGTACACCCCCTCCTCCTCTTTCACACCCATCATCACAAATGCTTTTCTTTGGCCAAACTCAAGTTCTGATCAACCGATAAGATCAGTAGATAAGTATTGTCTTCTTCGTCGCTCCAAGTATCACCTTCTTCGTCGCTTTAAGTCTTTTTCTTTGCAACTAAGGTTTCAGAGTATGAGAGACTAGAACCTAGGGTTCAAAACTAAAGAGTTTAGGTAGAGAATTCTGCTTTTGCTGGTAGGTAGAGAGCTCATAAATGATGTTTCTAAAGTTGAAACTGATATTTCATAATTTAAATTAAAATAAGTTTATTAATAATTGTAAAAACAAAAACAATATGCCATGTCAATATTTTCAATGTGCCACATATGCATTTTTGAACGTCTTTTCTGTAAAATTTAACAGAAGGGACTTCTAAAGCTAACACAAGTGTTTTAAAGGACTGGGGTGTAACGTTTTTGAATTAAAAAACTAAATAGAAATAATAAATTAAGTTAAGGGAGTTAAGCCTAAAGTCTTTAATCATTCATTAATAATAATATTACAATATATGTTTAATCAATTTAAATGTGTGTGATTTATCTAAAAAAATGTATAAGGAGTGTTAGAAGTAAAAAAGAAAAAAATTTAAAACACTTCTTTGAATTGTACAATCCACCCGTATTGTATGAGTGTAACATCAATTCAACGAATATTGCAAAAAAAAAAATATTTTTATTAGATACTTGTCTAACTTTTTAATCATTGATCTAATTTATCAGACACGTGTTATCTTGATGTTAAACAATTATCAGACACTAACATGTGTCATACATAGCAAGACACTTATTTCTAATGATATTTGTGCTTAAAAAGAAATAATTATGGGATAATAGTGCCTTTTTTTTTTTATCAATTTTAGTCCCCACTTAAAATGACATAATTTTGAATCTATTAAAACATCCGGAAAATAATGCATTTTTTTCTATCAATTTTAGTCCCCACTTAAAACGACATAATTTTGAATCTATTAAAACATTGATTTCTCATATTTTGCATTACAATTTTTTATTCCTTTCATTTTAAAATAATTGTTGTTTAAGATTTTAACACATAGATTAAAAAATATACTAATGTTGCTATAATATAATGCACTTTTACTAAATCAATTTTATTAATATATTAAAAATTGTGTACATAATAATAATTAAATAACACAATTGAAAAAATAATAATCATTCATACATTGAAAATAAAAATAACATTTATTTAAAAACTTTTTTTTTGTTCTAAAACCTCAGTCATTGTCAGTAATATACAATCACACTAACATTATAAATTTGGGTGTCACGTCAATTAATTAAATTGAATAGGAGATTACAAAAATCTAAATGATGAAAATCTCCCAATTAAAAAAAAAAACATAAATTGCAAATATTGAGACTGATTTCTCTATATAATAGATAAGAGGTAAATACTCTCCAACTTGTATAAACCATAAATAAACTTTCTTTTTGACAAACCATTTATATATCTATCTCATTATTTATTTGCTACTCATAATTCACTGCCAGCTCACGTATCCAGCACCAAGATCTCCACATTTAGCAAAAAGAGTAAAAGAGCTACTTATAAGATTAGGGTTCAACCATGTTGATGAAGATAAGAAACGTGGGATTGAGCATCATGCACTGGTGTCTTTTGTTGATCTATCCAGAAGCAAACGTTCTAGTGTGTCAACTCCCTGTTTCATGCAATATAGATGCCACTTTTCACTACAATATGTGAAAAGCATGTTTCCCTCTTAAGGATGAAAGTGTTTCTAATCATTGGTTTGGAAAGTGGAATATGTTATGGCAGTTAAAAAAAAATTGAACTAAACTCAGCCACCGAATTATTTAAACTGTTATATTTTATTATCGAATAAAATTATATTACCCAAACAGTTTTATAATCGAACCAAAACTTAAAAAGAAAAAATATTAAATAAATTTAAATTATTAAAAAAAATTAAAAATAACTTAACAGTTCAATTATTTAATAAATAATCCAATTTGAAAAAAATTAACTTCAGTACTTTTTAGATTTTTAAAACAGTAATACCAAACAAATAATTTTAGTTCGGTTTAATTTTGAATAAATTAAAACAGTTCAATTCAATTTAAATATATTTTTTATTATGGTTTAGTTCAGTTTAATTTTTTCATAAAACCATACCATTAACAACCCCGCGACTCATAATCTTTGTGAAATTGGACCACGAGGTAAACCTCATCTCCACCCCAACTCCAACTTTAAATATTAGGAAAATTAGAAACTCCACACTCGCACTAGATCAATAGGGGCATGAATCTATTTATAATTATTCAAAGGTTCGAAATTTAACTATAAAGTTTCAAAGATCGATCATAAAGTATATTTTAGAGAGCTGGCTTCAAATTTAAAAAAGGTGATAAATATAGGAACACAATAACCACTCAGGAAAGTACAAACTATATAATAGTTTACAAACCAAACTGGTTTTGTTCCTGAATTTCTTGTTACAGTTCAGTTCTTTTCGTTGTACTTCAGTGGTTTCGTTTAGTTCGGATTTATTCTTTTTAACATTCCTATGTGAGACACAACCTTACCCAAAGCACCACTGGAATTTCATTTTAACAGTCCTACATTAGACCCAGCCTTACCTAACGGCCACTGGGATTTCATCATTTGAAAACAACTAAAATGAAAAAAAGAGCAACCAAAGGACAACAGGTTGAGAGAAACAAAACTCTTTACATTAGCTCTTCGACGACATTATACAAATGCACAAGAATTTACTTCAACCAATCAAATGGAACATAGACATGACTCAAGAAAAGCGACTAGCATACAAAGATGAGTCGTCACAATCTATCCATTTATATTTCCGCGACAGTCATTCTTCAGGATTCCAAGTATATTCAAGGTATCACCAACGCAGTTCAACAGAGGATGTCATAATATTGTGTTACCTAAAATTCTGTGTCAAAACATGAAACCATGATCTTTGAAACCATGGACCTAGCAAAAGGGATGTAGCTCAAGCTATACCTGTTAATCAAAATACCAGAAATATTGAGGGTTAAATCATTGTACACATGAGTAAAAACAAGCATAGTCTCCCATTTGGATAATCATATTGCATGCTCAAAGGCTTTCATATCATATTGTATGTTGGAGTGAGATAAAAGATAAAATATTGTATGGGTAATTCAAATACTTCGGATGATGTGACAGTAGATCAAAATTGAAGTATCAGTTTACCTAGATGTTTAAGCATATAATAATTTACATAACATAAAACATATTGATGTAATATTAGAAGCGTGTGCCTTGACTGTGAGTATCAAAACTGAGACAGAAAAATCATTATACTAATTTCAGTATGGTAATGTCATACAGGCCATGTAGCATACACCTTATGCCTCAATCCTCATAAGATTTATGAGAATTTAATGTGCATATACAAAAAAGGTTATATGGAATGCATTTGGAAAAATTATAACATACCAAACTAGCGCCCCAAACTCCAAGATAATTGCGAGAAGTGTGAGTAACTTGTTATGAATCTGTTCAATGCAAAACAATGAAATAGTGAGTTATTAAAATAAGCCTTTTTCTGTCGGAAGTAAAAATGAATCTATTGTAGATGCACTTTGACTTACATAAAGTGCACAAAACAAGGCAATTATCATACTTGCAATGTATATGGCAGTTGCATAAATACGAACAGGATCCAGCATCATCGATACTTGCCTTTTAGGACCTATGAGGAATGCTGTGCTGCCATAAAAAAGACTCCCACTTAGTATTTGAAGAAAACCAAACAGCTATGAGACCAAGGTTAAAGGACAAATAATACACAAGTAAAAGATTCAAAATTTTCCCAAACTCTTCTTCTATCCTGTTTCTATAAATAAACTTGTGTAGCACGTGTGCAATGAGATTTTTCTCTTTTCATTGTGTTTTTAAGGATCTTGCAACGAGACGGATGATTGAATTTCTAAGGAACAGAGAGGAAAATACTACATTCTTATAAAGATGTGGGGTGGATGGTGCATGTTCTAGTGAGAAGGCACTATTTTCCAGTCTTCAGTCTGACTGCAATTCTCACAGTACTTCTCAAATTTGGCTTCAACACAAGTGTCTTAGGCACCCCTGTTTCCATTGGTGAAGTCTAAGTTTACATCATTGTATATATAACAATTTGTTGAATTGTTAAAATGTGATTCAAGTGAGTTTTCCAAGCACGGTCGTGTAACTTTTTCTCCTAATTTTTGCGAAAGTACTGAACCATTTGCTCTTATTCATTCCAAATTTTAGGGACTTGCTCCAAATTTCTAATATTTTAGGTGCTTCAACTTTTCATTCAATTTTATCGTACAGACTCAATATGGGAAATGCTTTAAAAGATTACTGGAAAGGAATAAGGCAATTGATAGAGCATTGAGTTCCCATATGTGTGATGATCCAATCATTGGGTCCAATCCATCTAAAGACAGCTTGTAGAAGCTGTGAGAATAGAAGTAGTTACGTTATTCCCTGAATTTGAGGAAACATTTATGTTATAAAAGAGAGGGATAATAAGGGCCGTGAAGTTCCACTTTCAGCCAATAAATAAACAGTTTTAGTATAAACTCTGGTTTCTATATCATTCATAGCGTTTAAAACTTTAATAGTAAATAGTGCATCACTCATAGGGTTGCATGTGTTGACCGAGGGCATGCATAAACAACCTTAAGTTATTTTCATGGTTCTGTGATATGGCCAGGGCGGAAGACATATCAACGGGCCAACGGCTCAGGATTTTCGTTGCACATAGCAGAGACTTGTGCCCGCATTTGAGTACACGCCTCTATTCATCATACTATTCACAATGATTCACAAATATCATGTGGAGACCACCCTAATAGAAGGAGACTTGTCTGCCGTTAGAAAAGGGCCCAAATTCACAAATATCATGTGTCATGCAATATAGAAATTTAAGTCCAAGGAGAGGACTATTGTTCAATTCAAGAGTGGTAGAAGCCCGACTATGGAGAAGTAAGAAGCAATATATAGTAGCTCAAGCAAGTGTGGCTATTGAATAATAGATGAGTTATTTTGGATGAATACTGTGTTAGAGGATCTGAAAATAAAGTATGAAGGCCATATGTTCATAATTGCACTTAGGGTTTAAGGTTTAGGGTTTAGAGATAGACAACACTTCGCCAAGGAGAATCTAGACAATGGATTGGTAGCAGCAGCTTGCATTATTCCTACTAAGCATCAACTAGTTTTTGTGTTAACAAAGGGCTTTGCCAACATAACGATTTAGTAAACTTACTTACAAGTTGGCAATGATAGATATTCATTCACTAGGTTGGAAGTGAATGCTGTAAATGATTTTTGTAATTAGTAGGAATTAGTTTGTATTTGTTGTCGTAGGCCCAACTGTCCGGCCTATTTGGTTAATATCTAGCTTATAAATACAAATTAGCGATTGTGCTTTTGACACAATTTGAAATTATATTCAGAAATATTTTTCCGTCCATGTGCCATAGTATTATAGTAAACAATTGTCTTCTGAAATATCCTCATTGGATTGGAACTGTGATTGGTGTCATAAGTAATGGAACATAATTCCTCCTGCAACATGTTAAGCCTTGATAGGGGTGTAGAGGATGAATTGGGTCAATATTTAGGTGACAATGGGACTAGGCCCAATGTATGGAGAGTCTATCACAGGAAACTTTACAAAGGGAAGAGTGATGCTGAGCTGGCAGCAGTAAACATGGAAACAGAACGAGGAGTTAGTTATATAATAATAGGCTACGGGTTGGGAAGGAGGCATCCAAGAAATCTGTTATTAATAAGAATGAGATCATCATGTTCATCCTGATAAGGGGAGCCATTTTGGCAAGTGGGCTGTTAGATCAATATCTATCAGACTTTTAGTTGCTAATTTGATAACTGTCTCTATTCCTAATACAATTTACAGGATTATTCAAGTTTTCTGAGCCACTGTTCTATTAAATCTCATTAGAGAGTTAATAAGAAAGTATTATTGTGAAGTTATTGACTGGTTATGGGAGGAAGAGACCGAGGTCTCTAATCATAGGAGGAAAATTTGTAACTGTGTCCTCAGTTTCTGAGTTCTCTTGTAATTCTCTGTTGTATAATTACATGACTGAATCTCTGACTTTAGGACCTTTCTCAAGAGATCATTCAATAAAAATCAGTTATTATCTTTAAATATCTATGCTTGGTACCAGTTTCTCTCGCGACCCCCCTCCCAAAAAACACACATTTTGCATTACTGGCCATAGCAACATAACAATATTCTTTCTCAAAATATTTGAAACCTGTGAATGGTATAGAACTAGAGACATCACCAAACAACATCATAGTATAATCATAAAAATGGAAGACATGGCATACCTTCCAAGTGAAAGCAAATTGCCAAGAGTGAAAGTTATCCCAAACTTGATTGGTTTGAGGAAAACAAGCATAGACTGCAGGATAGGATGAATTGCCATTAATTAGTCAACATTCATGTCAGCCAATATAAACTTGAGTTAAGAAACTAATATACTATATAAAGGTATAAAGACCAACACTTATTGATTAAGTTTTCAAAATGGTAGTAAAATAATTCATCTTCCCGTCAATTGACAAGACAAAGGTGAGAAATCATTATGAAACATGTTCACTATCCTCATATGGTACATATGTAATTTCCATTTCATCCATTATAACCCAACACTAAATTTGAGTAACAAAATCTGAAAGTATAGTAGTTTATTACCCATGCTCAACACTAGTTGCTTTCAAGTATCATTAACTTTTTGAATGAAGTTTAGAATAAATCACAATGTACAATCTAGTGGTGAACAGCATCAAAGGTAGCATAATTAGAGAAACCATTTAAACCTCCATATTATAATTACATTATCCAATATCAATATGAACATAATATATTTATTGCACTAAGAGTTGGTCAGAAGTGGAACGTGCACTTGAAACAGTGGTAAAGGTCACTGCCTTATGTAAAGATATTCGTGATTATAGGTTGTAGTTGCAGAAACATCCAATCCTATCCACTCGCAGTAATAAGGCTTAATTAAGCTGATCTTGCTTAGAGCCCACACTGGCAACAGGCAATGTAGGAGCTTCAGGCATTGGGTCCATTGTAGTATTGGTTAAAAGCCGCATAAAAACTTTGGATAGCGAACTTAATAATATTAAGTAGATGATATTTCGGATCTAACTTCGGCTAAATGAAAAGCTTTGTAAGTTGCGTTTGTGACAATATGTAAACATGAGAGGAAAAATAACACAATGCCTATCTTAATTGCATGATTTTAGGCGAATAAAGAACACATAAGCATATAAGTTGTTTTTTTCTAAAACAAAAAAAGAGAGCCCATCTTTCTTCGCGTGATACTAACTATCCTATAGAGCGCTCAAGAAACTTGAACAAATATTGCAAACAAATATAGTCAAAAATCTTGCAGCTACTCAATCACTTGTGTGAGACCATATTTACAGAATCGCTCAAGCTTTAAATGAATATTCAACATTAACATAATTTTATTTATATAAAATCTAACTAGAAGGAAAAACAACGCTGTCAAACTTACCAACAGTGTACAGGTTACTCCAGTAGCAAAGCATATGGCAAAACCATATAGTCTCTGGTCACAAATAGAAAGTTTATCAATAAAACTGTGCAAGATATACATATAGAAACATGTTGAAAGAATCAATTATCAAACAAACATTTCATGATAACAGAAATTTGGGTAAGGAACAACACTGGAGGAGGTTGATGCATAATTCACTTTAAAAAGTCTAAATATTGGAACATGCCTAATAAACAGCCTAATGGCCATAATCAAAGAGTTAGTGTATGTTTGGTTTCACATTTGGAACACCAATAATTGATTTTGGATGTGTAGAATTAATTTTAACATATTTGGTTGCTCTCGAGTAGAATTGATTAGGTTTTCCAGAATTGGTTCTACTTTTTTTTTTGTCTAACGAAATTGATTCTACTTGAACCTAGGATTTGTAGATTGAGTCTAAACGTCATATTTACACTGAAATGTATTGTTTAACTCACTTTTGCAAGAATTCATCCAAACATAAATCACTTTATATTAAATTCACTTTTAGTCAAAATCAAATTTACGGAATAATTCACTCAAAATAAATTGCCTTCACCGCAAAACCAAACACACCTTAATCAACTATGTGTATGTTTGATTTAGCTTTCAAAAGAGCCGAAAGCAATTCTAAAGGAGTAGAATTGATTTTGGAATGATTTTGAGATGTTTGTTTCTTCTAAAGAAGAATTGATTTTCCCTCCAGAATTGATTCTACTTAAGCTAAATTGATAGTTTTTTAGTTTAAACGCGATTTTTACACTAAAATTTGTTGTTCAAGTCACTTTTACGTAAAAATGTATCTAAACATAAATCTATTTACATCTACCTCACTTTCAATCAAAATCAATTCACTCATCATGGAAAAACCAAACACACACTACATTATCAGGACTTATTTGAACTTCAACAACGTCATGAACAGAGAATCAAATACCACGATATCACATTCACAGTGTCAAAGATCCACGTTCAAAACAAAACCTAAATATTCATTTCTATATTCAAATTAGCCAATTTCAATTCGTGTTTTCAGCTCATCGCTATGTTTTTGTTTTCTCTTACTAAAACAAAGCAAGCAAATACGATTGAATTTGAAGAGAAAATACCTGTTTGGTAGTCAAAGTGCAGTTGCGGTTGAAATCGTCCATGAAAGCGAAGGAGCTTTCGTTGTCCAATGCTGCAGCTTGTTGCTCTTCGTCTTCGACTTCCATTCCTACCATCATTTTCACTTTCTCGAAGGCTTTGTTCATTTTTTCCATTGTTTTTCTTCAGTTTCTCGGGAAAATGGAAAAGGAAAATTTGAAAAGAGGAAGAAAGGAAGAAATAGTGGATCTGGTGTAATGAAGTTCGTTAGATTTTCAGAAATTGTATTGAGGAATTCGATTAAGATGTAACAACGACTTCACTTCAGTGACACCAAACTCAACAATGAAGAGATCCCTCTCTTAGTTTTTTTTTTTTTAATTACGGGGTGAGAATTGGGCTTTGAAACCAGACCCGAGAACGAGGAGGAATTAAGTTGCCACCCCAATTTAAATCTAACACCTCCATAATTTTATAATTCGTCATTATTGAAAAAAAATTTGAAACAACTAAAAATATTTATATTATCGAAAATTTCATTTTTTTATAAAAATTTCAAAATTTTCTGTAAAAATTAAAAATTTCCAAAAGAAAATGTGAAGAATATCAGAGGTTTTATTTATGTAAAGTTATATTTAAACACATAACTTACATATAAAAGATAATCAAATCCAACACATAATCCAGATTTTAGTTTTTTCTTTGGTAAAAATCATTAATACCAACACGATTTTCTATTCTTTTTTATTTTGTTGATAAAAATATAATCTAGGCTTAATTAATAAAAATAAAAGTTAAAAATAAACAATTAAACATTAGCTTCAAACATTCAAATTTAAATATTTACTCTTTACATTGATATTTAGTTCTATCATGCCTTCAATGCGACAACAATTATATTTTCTTATTTTTTTTAGACTTACATCTATTTTGATATGTGTTTAAGTTATATTCGGTCTACTCTTATTATATTTTTTTCATTCTTTGGTCAGAACATACCTGAGCAAAGGCACAAGATTCTTAGTATAGAGCCTTCAAATTTAAGAAACCTTATTTTTATTAAATAAAACAAAATTTATATTTAAAATTATATTAAATAAATTAAAGAATGGAAATGTGATCATTAGTGGAGTTGTTATAAAGTCAAAATAAGATATTTGTCAAAGGACTGTGTGTTCAATCCTTAGTGTCAAAGGGTGTTAAATTATTGGTGTCAAAGAGTCTTATGTTCAATCATTGGTTATCATTTTTAATTATTGAGTTGATTTTTTTTATTTTATATTAGAACAAGGTTTTTGAATTGATTAGGTTAGCCCTGGCCTCAGTTAGGTGTAGATGCGAGGCCCAAATATGAGGTTCAACAATCTTTATTTCTAATAGGAAGAAACTCATGATGCATTACAATAGTGTAAATTGAGTCGATATAAACATTACAATTTATATACTTTAGTGTGTAAATTGAGTCAATATAAACATTACAATTTATATTGATACTGACACTTGCAATCACATGTAAACGAACACATATATCTTAATGTTTGAAATTCTCCAAGTTACACCACCAAGTATTTAAAGTGACTTTTTATATCATAGTTTGTCTTCGATTTGTGGATTTGCTAACTTTTTAATCCAAATTCTTCTGAATCCCTTGTAAATTTGAGGACACGGTGAAATTTTGCTTCCTGATTTTCATACAACATAGTAGATAAATGTTCAAAGAAAATATGATCACCTATCATCATCCTAATAGTTATGTTCACTCAATCAACCAAAAAAAATTGTAGACCTTATAAATGAAGTCTTGACCATGGCTAATACGAACAATGTGTGCTCCTTTTAAGACTAAATTCAAAGACTCTACAAATTTGGTAGTCATATGGCCATATATCTTTTCTCCATCATAAGCTTGAATAAAGGATAACCACAAGATTAACTTTGAAATAATTTTTTTGACAAAAAATTATACTTCATACATGTTCTTTGATCAAAATCTAGTCGTAGGTCATGCATAGATAATGAAATTCAATCATGTTTGTAGTTCATCAACAAAACAAACAAAATGAAACATGGAACTAACTTGTAATCTAATCAAGAAAACATGGAAACAATTAAAAGCATGTAATTAAAAAACTATAAAGCATAGAATAGACAAAAAAAAACAAGTGTGTAACAAAAATTAAAACACATTAGTAAATCAAGTGAAACATAAATGATTGAGAAAATAAATTAACTTGGTATGCGAGTTTTTTAGTCAATATATGCTTCTTTCTCTTGCATCTCCCCGAAATCATCTTCATATATCTCTTCATCCTCAGCTCTATGCTAAGCCCCCTCCACCTCTGAATAAAAAGGGATGACCTCAAGCCAAACACAATGAGCCGCACAAGTTGACGGATGAAATATTTAGTAGGAATAATGGCTCAGGATCTTACTAGTTCATCCAATGCAAAGACTCGTATAGCATTGGCATCTTCTTTTGATCAAATTCCTGATTATTTTAGAAACGAGTGAAGTGTGCTCTGGTAGAAGGACTCATATGTATTTTAATCTATGTCCAAAGACATATCTCTAGAGTGTGTGCCTAGTGTTTCCTCGTCTTCTGACAAAATATCATGTAGTAATCATTGATTTCGGGGTTTATGTAACACAAATTTGAGTTAACCATAAGCTCATTGTGACGCTAGAATAATCTCATATGTAATCCTCGAATACCCACGGGTCATCTTTTGTTATGTAAGATGCTCCTACTTTTATAAAAATTATCCTTGCAATGTCAACTTCACCACCATTTATGATAAACAATACCATGTTGGCCACATCCATTGTAATATTAAAGATGTAGTTTTTATGGATGATCTTGTTGATGATCATAACCATTAATGGTTGGGCCTCTATAGCTAGGTCTTGTATCAAAAATGAGTTTGGGTGATTTGGATACTTCTCTCATAAGTAGTTATTTGATTACATATATCTCATCATATTTTATACATATCCCAATTGATTGTGAGCATTCTTTTGGCAAAATCACCCAATTCATCTGCAAACTTTTCAAAAGGGTTGTCAAGGCATGCAATAATTTTTTCTCTCCATCATAGACGATCTTAACACCTATAATTCTGGAATATATCTTAAATGGCTCCACTTCAAATCAATACTGAATTGTGGCTTAGGTTGCGCAATTTTTCCATAATTATAATTGTTTATCAAAGAAATAATACTTTCATATAGTTCATGATCCACAAGAGCTACTTTTCTCCCATCCAAGATTTTTCTATTCCAAGTTGTTGGAAATTTGTTAGTATGTAAGTTACTTAGGATTTGAATTGTTGCATTTGAAAAATTTGATCATGCTTATGTGAAGGATTTCTTTTGAAAAAAAGCTTCTTTTGCAATTTCTTCTTTGGTTCCATTTGAAATTAAAATCAATAATCACAAATTTGAGGAAAGTTAGACATACACTCATGGTATTAAATTTACATGAATAAACTTTACCCAAAAATTGATTTTGTTTCCAAACTTTTAAACCAAAGACAATCAGCCACACGTGGTCTACAGTAATTTTTAACATTTTTATTCATGGAACTTAAGTGCATAACAATTTCCAATGACATGTGGTTCAAAAGTTTGAGTCCTAACAACACGTGATAATTCCACATGAAATACTTCTCATATTTAATTATCATATATCTCAATCACTAAAGAAAAAAAATCAAAATTTTAACATGGTTCAGACAATTCATCAAACAGTTGGCTTGCATGTCCAACAAGGAACATTCAAAATTCATAATAAAGTTCAAAATTCACTATTTTTCATTCGAAATCATTGACAACAACAAACAATCCATCCATACTCCAATTACAACCTCAACTTTCATGTTTGAATTCGACAAATTTAGAAGAATTATGAAGTGAGATACCTTTGAAAGAAATGAGATGAAATGATATGCAAATATTATTAACCCAACAAATAATCAAACAATAATAATAATTAAAATAATACTTTGCATGAACTTTTTGATAGTGAGAAATATTTAGGTTTGAGGTCATTCTTTCCTTCTTTACTTTACTTTTGGTGGGAAGAGAAATTTTGAAATGTGTTAAAAAAAACAAGATACTTAAGGTCTGTTTGGCTAAGGTTTTGGATGGGTGGAAAGAGAATATTTTAAATGAACAATTTTTAGTTCAATATTTTAGGAGGGGAGAGGAAGGAAGAAGAGAGAAGAGGAGGGAACTAGAATCTCTTATGAAGCAACTTTTTGTATTTTAAATTGGGGTGTTTTTTGGAGGGAAGGGGGGCTAAATAATAATTTATTATATTAAAGAAATTAATCTTAATTTCTTTTATAAAAATTACAATTTATCCCTAATAAAATACTAAAAGTTTAAGTTTTATATCTAATTGCTCTTATTTTTATTTTTTATGTTAGAGTTTTCTCTTTTGCGATTAAGAGTTTTCACATGCCTAAAGTCAGCCCCATATGTTACAACTATTGTTGCTTTCATTTTTTTTTCTTTTATTCTATAAATCAACATTATTTACTTTGTTCTTTTTATTATTGTTTTTGTTTCTTAAATTCCATATTATAACTTTTTTTTCTTTTCATTTTTACTAATTTATTTAGAAAATTAAATATTTTGTCATATTTATGAATGAGTAAATTTCTCTATGGTAAAATGTACTCAAAATTGTTGTTATGCATAATTATTTTACTTAACATGAATTTTGTAGGATTATAAGGATAAAAAAGTAAATTAGTTTTAAAATTCCTCCTTTGAAACAAACATATATATAATTGAAATTCTTCATTTCCCCTTCCTTCCCCTCTTTTGAACCAAACATGTATTTAATTAAGATACCTCTCATATACTTCCCTCAATTCCCCTCTCATCCATTAAAATCCCTATATCCCTCCCATCCTTTGGACCAAACTTACTCGGAAACTAATGATATTAACATTCTTTAATGTCTTTTTTCGTTTATGATGGAAGTGTTTTTTCATTGTCACCCTCATTTTCTTCATTAATCTCAACATTCTCCTTTTATATGGCATCCATTTGAACACAAGTTCTTTTATCTTTAGGATTTTTAGATACTTTATCTTGAATGATATTTTCTCATAAATATACCTTTTTCTATTGGCTTAGATTTTTTTCATGAATTTGGCACATGGTGGCATATCTTCTAAGGCTTCTGAGAATGGTAGGCTTATGTGAAACATTTTGTAGATATCCAAAAATATTCTGTATTGTCTTTCTATGGTCTTTTTGGCTGGAGTGTATGGGTATAAATTTGAATATGAAGGTTTTTCTTGTTTATATGTTCTTTTGATTTTCCTTGTTCTTTTCTTGCACTACCTCTTTTGTTTTTACCTGAGCAAGCACAACAGGCTCCCCAACAACCAGGACCAACAAACCTATAAGAGTTTGATTTTGAGTTACCTCAAACTTATCCAACAAAAGTTTACTTAACACAATCTTTGTAACACTCAAGATAACAACATGATGCTTTTTAGATAACACTAGAAATCTTGATCGGTTGTCAGCCGATAACATGGAAATATATCATATATTTTGACCTGATTCACATGCTACTTAGTGTCTTTTTATTATGTTTTTGTAGTATTATGTCGCATTATGTTTGTTTTCAAGTAAGTAGCCAAATGATAGCCGTTCACAAAGAAACAAAGCAAAACAGATGAAAAACAGAGATTTTGGTGTAAATTGTACACATGGCATTGGCCACGGAGGTAGCCATGAGCTGGACCACTTCTCCCATGTTCCAACAGTTACAAGACCACACCTACCACCTCTTGTACACATGGCAGATGCCATGTCTAGATGGCGGGCGCCATCTTTGATTTTGGTGGTCCAGTCAAAGGCAGTTGAAGAATGAAACCCATGACTACCACTTTTCTCTCCCATGAATTTTTGAAGCTTCTACTTGGCTTCCAAGGCATCTTACTAGTCTAAATAGGACCTAGTTTTCACACTTTGGAGGATCCAATCTTAGTTCTCAGCATAAGCATATATCTAGTTGTTAGAAGCGATAATCTGTCACATCGAGGGGTTATCGCACCATTGTTGTAACTGAGGTTGGAGCATCGTAGCATAGGAACTTTAAGCTTGTCGTCATTTTACTTCCAAGTCAGATTTACTTTCAGCATTGTACCAGATTCAATTCTCCATTTTGGAGTAGGTTTTATTTTACTCGCACTTTAATTATTTACTTTTCGCCTTGCTTTAATTTATTTAACTTCGCTTTTATTTCAAATATTTGTTTTCTAAGGGTGAACTTAAGCGTGACACTTTTGTTCTTACCTTTGGAAACCGATCCTGCGTTTAATTTCTGCACGATTTATTTATCGCTTTTATTTCAAAGATTCGTTTTCTAAGGTGAACTCAAGCGTGACACTTTTGTTCTTCTGAAAACTAATCATACATTTTATTTTCCTGCACGATTTACATATCGCTTTTATTTCCAAGATTCATTTTCTGAACTGAACCTAAGAGTGACACTTTTGTTCATTCGAAAAACCAATCATGCACGTTTCATTCCCTAAATGATTTATTCTACAAACAAATTATTTATTATGTTTATCACTGTTATGTCTAGCTAAACTTGTTGTGTTGTGATGTAAGGACCTTCGTTTTGATGGTACTCTATATGTTGTATTTGTAGAAACACTTTAGGGGCTATTTTAGATTTTAATGCAACATTTCTGAACTTAAATTGATCGGCCATTACGCGAACAAGACCGTGTTTCTGTTTACGTAATAATCGTGACTATGCCGGGTAAGATCAAAAGCAGTCTGACACTTTAGATAAGAGTTAGTTAGTTTTTAATTGGTAAAAATAGCGAAAGCACTTTATTAATTAATTAGGAAAGTTTGGTATTATTAGAAAGTGATTTTAAAACTATTTTTGGACGCGTTCATAGATTTAGGATCTAGTTGGCCGAGCATATACCGGAAACCCTTTGATATTAAAGTTTCCAATCAAAAATACTTTTTAACTGAGTCTTAGAGGTAGTTATATAAAAAATGACTTTTTCACTTTAACACTAGATGTGACCGATGCAGCGTGAGCGGCTGGTAAAAATTAAAGGTCAGGTCCGATTCCGATTACACTAACGCGACGATTCCTTTTTGATTAACTCTTTTTCAAGGAAGAAAACATTGCCCCATAAGTATTACTACTTAGACAATAAGAGTACTGTTTGATCGATGGGAATTACATTCCGGTATGCCTTTATTCTGAATTTGAATTCATTCCTTAATTATTATTTTTCTTCTCTGTTCGTATTACTCTCTATTTTCATTAGATTTAGATAAACACCGTAAAAATAGTAATCGATAGATTGACATTGATCTCTGTGGAATCGATAATCTTTTATATTACTATGACGTACTCCGTATACTTGCAGATAGCACACATCATCATCCCAAATACCATTCCTTGCAAATCACTTTACTATCATCGAAAGGGGAAGAATATGGTTTTATGTGTTGGGCACATATAAATAATTTTGTGGTTTTGATGATGACAAAAGAGAAAAAGAAAGTTAATCATAAGCATCATCATATATAATCAAAAAGTAAAGTTAATCAAGTTCATCTATTGAGTGAAAAAGAAAAATTGATTATGTGACAATGTTGAGGGAAAATAATTCAAATCAAATTCAAAGTTCAACATCGAACAGAGCTGAAGATGTGAAAGCTCACATGATCTTGTGTCTTAGTGTTTTATTATGTTATAATCAATAGTGTGTAAAATAAGTAAGATTAACTCTTGAGGTACTAAGGAGATGTAAACACGTACTAAAATGTTTCCAAAATCTTGATGTATTTCAAAATTCATCAAAAAACCAACCTTGAAACTTACGTAATTGATTAACAGTGATTATGACCATTTAGGAAAGATAAACACATTGTCTAATCAATTAAACATTTCTTCTAATCAATTAAGGAACGAGTTTGTCTCATAATCAATTAGGAACCATATTAATTGACTAAGGAGCAAACCTGGATTTAAAGTTTCTTATTTTGGCTAAGTCTAATCGATTAGTGTCGCAGCCTAATCGATTAGAGAGCGGTAAAGCCCATGAATTGATTTATTTTTTGAGATAAATTTTTCCCTATATAAATAAGGCATGTGCTCACTTTCAAAGCACAAAATTTATGACTTGTTTCTCTCATATCTCACCCATTTTCTTTATAAAATCAATTTTTTTTCACTATACATTACTTTAGTGCTGAGAGAGTGAAAGATTTATCTTAAGAGTTGTGTAATTATAATGTTGTAATTAATTTTTAATTTAAGAGCATGGTTCTCTTGTATATATGTAATTGGTTACAAGATAAATTTGTTAAAATATTGGTTGCAAGGAAGGTTGTTGGGTTGTTCCTGGTGCAAACGCTTAAGTTATTTATAGTGGTAATCACAAAAAGAAACTCCTGGAGATTAAAGTAGGCTTCATGGTTTAAGGCTGAACTAATATAATTTATGGTGTAATATCTCCAACTCTATCTCTTTAAATTTATGTTCTTTATTTTTTCGTTGTTTAATTTCTACTTCTACTTTCCTTTTAAAATCAACTAACCTAGTATTAACCTTTTGCAAAAAGTTTTTCAAAAACCAAATAACACAATTGACCCCACCCCTCTTGTATTTGAAGTTGCTTAGTCAACACATTTGCATCAGATACACCTAGCGTGACTTGGAGATACTGAAGGTTGTATGAAAGTTCTAATCCAAGGGATTAGAGTGGCGGTGGAGAAGGAGACTCGTGTTGATATTGTGGAGGTTGAAGCGTAAATTGTTGCTAGAATTGGAAGAGGTTCCCGAGCGATCATTTTAGAAGGTAGAATTTGACGCAACACTGCAATTAGAAAAGTAAACTAGAACTGAGGTTGTACATCTTGGTATAGAGGAGGTTTTTTAGCCGTGAGAGTCAAAGCTAGCGTTATGGTTTCTTTAAGCATCTTAAGCATTAATAGGATATTAGGAACATGAATAATGTTGTGCTCAGTCGTTGTTCGAGTTGTTTTATATTTTACCACTGTTAAGATAGCATAAATGGGTGGTGAGAAGATTAACAATGACCAGAACGATTAACAGTTACATCAGTTAGAACGGTGAACACAAATAATTGTAACAATACTACAGAGAAGTGATAAGAAACTTGATTAAAATTTCATGAAAAACAGAAGACGATTCAAACATACAATGTTATTATTCTGTAATGAATGATAGGTTAAAGATATAACCACCATAAAACAATTATGTGCGGTGGTAAAAGTATTTTGTGATCAGAGAGGAAATATTTGCAAGGTTAGTATTTTGACACTTAAATGTTTGAGAGATGAGACTATATAAGTGTGTACACGAGAATACATGAGTGCGACTCTGAGTCACACATATATAGAATAGGTGAATTGAACTGTCACCAAGTGTCGCGACGTGGATTGCTTAAGGCCGTTGGGTGCATATTCACGATGGGAATACAATTAATAATGTGCTTAGTAATAGAGGTACACCTCTTCATCAATCTATGGAATGCTTTATATAAATTGTGCCACATTGTTGGAGCGGTCTTGTTGAATCTTTGAAGCCCGAAACAAATCTGACAAAAGTGCAAACACCATTTGTAACATCTTACCACAATAGTTTATATATTGATTTTTAGAGTCAAAATAAGTATAGAATTTGAGTAGGAATTGAATTTAATTATTTTTATAGTTAGCATAAAGATATAAGAATAGAGAAATAAAATACAAATAAAAATAAAAGACACAAACCATAAACCATAATATGTCTTTCAACTAATTTATTAATTAAATATAAAATTATATTGCAATTTGTAAGTGTATTTTTTTAGTATAAATATTCATAATGTGTGTTTTTAAAACTCAAATGAATTTGAATGTTAATTCTTGAAATAAAAAAATTTATTCACTGTTAAAATTTTACAATAAATTGATAGATAATTAAATTATATACAAACTTTTTAATTAAAAAGTACCAAACTTTTCTTTGAACAAACCATACATATTTTATTTCATATATATAGATCATATACTTCCAACTTATAGCAACCTTTTAAAGTTTCCTTAACAATCAATCAAAACCTCATCTCCTCGTACAAACTACAATTCAATACATTCAATTTATTTTATGGCAATTTTTTCTTACTTCCCCTTTAGAACCTTCTTTAACATCAAGCAAGCTCATCTTCACCATAGCCTGTTGAAAATCCAAGAAGAACAATGCCTCATTCATGGCATACATGTTCACAATGTTCCTAGTTTGTGGGCTATTGTACAATGTTTGGTCCGAAGTAAGAACACCATTGTTTGAGACCAAAGAATTGAAGTATGAATTATCAAAATCGTTACATGTTGCATCAAAAGGTTGCTTAGCATTGTCACCAATGTTGCATGTTTTGGAGAGTGTTTTTGCAAATTCTGAATCCAATGTTTGATCCAATTGGGTTAGTCTTTCCTTGAAAGAAATACACCTTGCTGCTCCTAGTGTGTGAGCTCCTGGATAATCAAAATAGTTAATGATAAACTTTTACTATTTTTTGCAAAATTATTGCATAATCATATTGTTATTGGATGAATATAATCGATACGTATTTAAATAAAGAATTTTAGAATAATTGAAAATTTTATGATCCGAATCCAAACTCAAAATTTTAATTTCAAAAATATTTTAATAAGTGTTCTAGACGGTCCGCAAGCTGCAAAGAAAAAAGGCTAAATAGTGTCATCAAACGATAAAGAACGCGGAGCTAGTGATTTCTCATTTAGTCAAAAATAGACAATTCTGTCTGTCATACATATCTATCACGGTCTATTAGACCAAACAATTATGCAGACGGTTTTAACGGTTCTTACTGAATATAGAAAAAAGCGCGTCATTTCTGATAATAAAATTTATTCTCACTCACCCGTAACCTCTTATTTTTTCACTGATTTGGACGGAAGTGTTAACCTTATAGGTCATTCTCTCTCCCCACATCGAAAACACAACTCTATTGCCATTAGGTATTACCGAATCATTTCACCGATTATTTCTAGTTATGAACTAAACAATACCATTCATGAATATTAATTCAAGCACAATTATTACCGGAAAGAGCCACCATGTCTTTTGGAGAAAAACCATGTTGGCCAAACATCCTAATGAGCTGAGATGCATTGAAAAATGGAGGTGGCAGATTGAAAGTATCCTCAATTTTAGACCTTGTTCCATCTTTCCTTCCTTTTGGTATGTTATACACAGGACCACCAGCCTGCACATGTCATGTCATGAATAAAGAATATTACTTCATAATATTACAAAAAATGCAAGAACTTCATTTTATAGTCATTTCCTTATACACGAAAAGAATGAAAATTAATAAGAAAAGTTTTAGAATTTGGTTAGCTATTATCCAACTCTACAGAACACCCTTACAAAGAAAACTGCATCTCTAGCAGCCATGGCAAGAATATCAGCACATGAAACAACTCCAGGACATTGCTTTTCTAGCTCTTGTTTGATATCATCTATCACTTTGTATCCTCTCAAGCTCAAATTTGCAGGTGAATCTTTTTCTGCTGTGTTCTCCTTAGTGGAGTCTATTAGAACTGACCCATCACATCCCTCTAAGAAACAATCATGGAAGTGCATTCTAACTAAACCTGCTGCTAGGGTGGGATCATCCTGCAGAGCTGTGTTGACATTGTTTTTAACAACAGAATCAACAAAAGGGCAGCTAAGTAAGTAGTAGTTCATGCTCAGTCCATATACTCCTAATATGAAACCATTCACTATGACAAAAAATAGTGTAAGCAAATTAGCCATTGTTAGATGATATTCAAATAATGCAAATGATGGATTGTGAAGCATCTTGACAAAACTGTACTTATATATATGTGTGTGGAGTGAGAGGATTGAGATTAGTTTGTAGTGAGGCCTACAAATGAAGAACTTTACAAAGTTGGGAAAAGCTGGCCATTATCATCTGTCTTATATTTTGATTTTGGAATTGTTAATATTTATAATATAATATAAGTCTAATCTATTGCATGTATATAAGTTGAGAAGTTATACTAACATCGTGATTTTAAATCGCATTTATGGTCATAAATGTGATTGCACTGTTGTAGTTGTTGCTATGTATATTGTTATATATAATAAATTTTAATAAAAAAAATTTGAAATATACACTTGGGAAAATATTTAAAGTCAAGATTTTTATATTACATCATGTAGAATATTGAGTTTTTTTATTCTAAAATTTTATTTTTTGATCAAAATAATTGAACAAACCTGGATCAAATCGTCGGGTACGTTTTTTAATTCAATTGTATATATGATTTTAAAATCACTGTAAATTAAAACCCACCACATGAACCTAAAATGATTTTTTTTTAATCTTAATTTTGGTGAATCACTTTAGGAATTCAATTTGACCCTACTATTTCCATATGTCAGACTCTATCATCTATTATCTTTCTTCTACACATATTTAGATATTATTGCAAGAATTTCTACAATGCTAAAACATGCTATTAGAATTTCGAAATTAAATCAATAACTAACAATTAAATAATATGCTCAATAAAATATAATATATAATTAAAATGCAGAAATCAAATAATCATATAGATATGTATAAAATTAAAATTTACAAATTAATTTTAAAAATATTTAGATTAATTAAGAAAATTGTCGGTAATCCTAAATCCTAGAGGTTGTGATAGTGTTAGAATTAATCCAAAAACTTGAGAAATCCAAATCAATCTTGATAAACAAGATTCAATCAACCGATCAAAATTCTCTGTTCTTCACTCTTCACTCAAGTGAAACAATCACACCTTGATTGAAAGAATGATTTTACGCAACAATTGTTAATGGAAGAAGAAAGAAAGAAGATTGAATAACAAAGAAGATTAGGGTTTAACAAAAGAAGATTGATTTCAAAAGCACTGCCTAATCCCTCATCCCCCCCTTTAGCAGCGCTTTTGCCCCCACCTTTTAGCAGCGCTTCTGAAAAGCGCTGCCTATTCCCCCCCTTTAACAGCGCTTTTCTAAAAGCGCTTTCTTTTCTCCCCCCTTCCCCAACCCTTTAGCAGTGTTTTTACTTAAAAGCGCTATCTATTCTTCAAGTTTATAAATTTGTTTTTAAATAATCCCTTTTTTTAATTTTTTTTCGATAAAACTGCTTATAACAATTACAGTTACTTTACATATAATCATTGTAATTCACATAAACCTACTTATATATAATTCAACACAAGCTGATCCTCAGAACAACTTCACAAATACAGTCAATTTACATATAATTACAAAATCGATAATTTTACAAATACATACGACTTCAATATTATTATCCCGCATCAATATTTGACGATACATATACCTTATACAATTCTCAACTCAAAAATGTATTGACACCATTCCTCCTTAATTTCTTCCAATTCTGCTTTCGAGTAAGTATCACACTTGAATTCATCAAAGTACTACATAATATAACAAAACATGCACGATTTAGTTTTAAAACTAATTACTCAGATGAAATATCGGTTAATTATTAAAATAAATCATATAACTTATGAATTTATCCATACCATGATTGGAATATCTATTTGACCCGAGTGAATAATTCCTTCATAAAGTGCAATACAAAATATCTGCAATCAATCCCATTGCACTGACGAGGACACTGTAAATGGAAAAAACAAACGATCATTTATCAGGATATATAGTTTAAATAGTTTTATCAAGTAGAATCACTATAACAGTAAAAAATGTGAAAATATACCTGCACTCTGATCCAGCTAATGTTGTTAGTCTTCCTTTTTGGCACTTTTGCTTCTCTTTGCGATCGAAATATTTGTATAGCTCTAACATAATATAAACGAATATTTAGAACAGTCTCACATAATAAATAAAGATAATTATTCAGAACAGTATATCTCATCACTTACGTATCAACCATAGTCTTCATATGAGGATATTTTGTTTGATCACCATCCAATGAATCCAGATAATACACGATTTCTTTCATCGGATTAATCGCGACCAACAACCAGTGTCCACTGTAAAATAAGACAAAAGTTTAGACAGAAATATTATATAGAATGGCAAAAAATGAATAATTATAATAAATGAATTTAGAATGAAATCTAACCCATGGCCAGTATTCTATGGCAAAAAGTACAACTTCTCTATATCTGCGGCCATAAATGATTTGACAAAGTAATCTCTGACTACATCTGGAGTGTGATCGATTGACCGTTGCGCTGATACAGCTAACAGATAAGAATGCGAATCTTGAAGTCAAATCATGCAGGACCAACATCTTGTCATACAATAACCTTAAATAAAAACATAATCAACATTAGAATATTAAATGAGCAAATAAATTATTCAATTATTTAATTAAAATTGATCGGAGTATTACCTGATGTAGGAATGCATAACACTGATGCCCAATTCAGTATGTTGAAAAATCTGGTCCAAATCCTCCTTGGCAATTGTTTCGGTATATTCAAAACCGAAAATATCTTCCTGCATAGGTATTTGGCGGATGCCACCCTCAACCACATTTGTTGTTCCTACATATGTTTCAAGGCACAACCTAAATCGAGGAACATATGCTTTTTTTGGCTCGATCTTTTTTTTGTTGGCACCTTGCTAGATTCAGGCATCTTACCCTTGCTGACTTGTTGCAACTGTTGATCATGAACCTAAAAGTCATATAAATTCAGTAATTAATGTATAATAAGATCATCATGTAACTGCAATAGTACCTATTTTTTTGATGCAACTGAATCAGTTTCCCGCACAATAATTCCCTTATCTTTGATTTGGATTTTGTAGAAGTCTAAGATCATCATGTAAATAAGTAACTGTAAATGTAAGAATATAACTTTCATGTATGAGTCGTAAAACATTTGAATACTTCATAATAATGTTCAACCTACCTCATCATATATGAAAATGAGATGTGACGGCCATGCAACATACAATCCTATTGCGTCTCCTACCACTGTTTCGTCTGAAACATCATCTGGTATAGGCAACAACGCACCCCCCTCTAACACAATATCAACCGATACTTTAAAATCCAGCAGGGAGCGGTTTATGGTGAAGTAGGTATCCCAAAGTGTTATGCACTTTCCCTTTCCAACCATGCGATAAGTCGGTGAGGATAAATATAGCCGACAAGGTGAAATGCCCTAAACAAATAATGAATATGATTAATGTATCAATTAAGAAAATTGTGCTACATTAATTTCAATGTAATATATACAATTACCTCTGGAAGCTTCTGCGGACAATTGATACTATTTTTGTCGCTAGTATCTTTACACTCTGGACCGTGCCTTTCTGACATGTATCTCTCTTTGTCCTTCTGTAATTCACGAATATGAGCTTTCAATTCCTCCAACGTCTTCATCACTTCTTTATTGCTAGGATTTTTATTCTTTGGCTGCTTATACAGTTTTGATGGAGTGACACCAAATCCCTTACCCCTCACACGCCCAGGATACTCAGGAATATTTAACACTCGACTCAGTAAGCTCCTGCAATCATCGTCCTCAGCTACAGTTATAGTCTAGGATAAAGTCTCCTGAAATATAGATAAAATAATATATAAATATATTATAACTTTTTGAGTTACACATTGTTCAAATACTTGTTGAACTTCTTCCTGAACGAATCCATCTCTTCCCACACAAGCAGCCTTCCACACAACATGGTCCGGAAGAGATGTTGCATCACTTTTCTCCTCTTCTAACTACACATTAAGACGAATAATAAAACATTCATACCCCATTATATATACTTACTATTTTTTGTAACTATATAATATTAAAGCATTTATATATATTTACTATTTTTTGTTGTAAGCATGCATATCCCAAACGCCCTTTTTTGTATGGATACGCGGGTTTTGATGCTCGTTTCCGATTTACATCACTCACAACCTGAAAAAACAAGTTTAAGTCATATCAAAACTCTTGTGGAAGAAGTATATATATTATACATTATTCATGATAAGTTGTACTTACGCAAAATTCTTTGGTTCTTTGCTTGGCAACAAATGTGTCTCATTCTTCATCTGAAATCAGATCAGTGTACTTTGTTGGACGCTCTAATTCGACAAAGTTTCCAACAGAATCTTTAAGAAACTTGTTCATTAAAAACGCTTTAAATCCTCTCAGTTGTTTTTCGGCCAATTGAAGACAATATTTTCTCCTGCAATCATCAATATTAAAAGATCTCTGCAAACAAATAAACATACATATAACATGTTAGTATAATTAATTTAAAGATGTAACCGTCTTCATAATTAAAAAAATCAAATATCATACCTATATCTCGCTCCAAATTTTGTCTTTAGCCGGTTGTGACGAAGGAATTCTCCAATTATCGCAAGTAATTGGAATTTGCGAACGAACAAGTGCTCCAATGTAACTTGTCAGCATCGCACCGTTAGGCTCAATTAATTGATCTCTTTCATTCCAATGCACATCATACTTTACACATTTATCTCTGGAACAGATGATTTTTTTCATAATCGTTATTCCTCTTTGAATATCGCCTTCCATATCTTTTGTTGTTTCGTTTCCATCATGTGATTTTTCCTTGTTGGTGGCCATAATACCTGTAATTCATAAAAACCAAATTAGCAAATGAATGTCAAATATGTAAATAAGAAATATATACATAAATAATTCATTTACTTTCATCAACAACAATAACATCAATAACATCAACAACAATAATTCATTTACTTTAATTCAACAACACTAAAAACAACAACATTCCATTTTAACATCAACAACAACACTAACAACAACAACATTCCATTTTCACAACTAATACTTCACTAA